CCCCAAAACCCCAAAACCCCAAAACCCCATGTTAAATTGATTTATAAAAATGAAAATTTTTGAACGAGAAAAGATACCAAACCTAACCAAGAAGGTAAGACCTAAACCAACAGAAAGGGACCCAAGAGAATACCAAAGAAAGAGACAAACTAAGCATAGAGATTTAGAAAGGAAATTTGGTACTGAGAAAGAAACTATCGGAGGAATCTCCATTCGAATTTTAGACGGAGTTCTCCATATTTGTTAATTTTAGAATTGGATTTTTGGAAACATACTTTAGAGTAGCATAAGATTTGACAGGTTGTTAAGATTAATAAGAAATTATTCGTGGACCTTAAGAATAAATACTGCAGTTAAGCAAAACCTTTGATCTGAACAAATCAAATTTATATAGAAAAAGCAACCCAGAAACTGCAGGAAATGGATACTACTACTCTTGCTGTTTAAAGTCCTTTCTATTGCTAAATCTAAGGTAAGTTAGCAAAAAATTAGTATTACAAAACACATATTATCTCCCCCTCCCCCTCCACTCCCCATACCCTACCTCTCCTCCCCAAAACCCCCTTTTCTTCCCATCCTCTCAGTACAAATCTCCAAAATTTCTTCTAAATTTTATCCGTAAATTTAGTGCTTCCTTGGTTTCTTCCAGAACGGGGAGGTGTGTGAACAGTGCAGTAGTGAGTGAGAGGAGTATATGTATTTGAATCAAACAAGTTTGCTATGCGAAAGTTGCCCAGATAACCAATACTATAATGCTATACGAAGCATCTGAATGGATTGAGAAGGAAGTTGCCTAGGGCCTTGCATGAGACAGTCAAAATGATGGGAGTGACTTCCTGGAAAAGTTTTAGAGCTCAATAGCTTAGAGTGAGTTGATATTAGTGACTATGAACAGACTAATTTATCTTCTCCTGAACTTTTACTTGAAGGTGGCCACCTAAACTTGTCACCTGTTGTGAGAAATTTTGGAATTATGTCAACTATTGAATATTATGTAGATATATGTAGCTCTCAACCAATTGAACTGGGAACTCTAAGGTATCCATACCGTTCTTTCAAAGCAGTTAGCTATGAAATCTTGAGCTTCTATAGCAACTCGGATATATCAGTCACCATATACACCAAGGATGGATATATCGAAGACGATACAAACATCTATATAAATATGTCATCTGTTCAAATAGTTCCTCATCCTGATTATAATGAGAGTATTCTGACTCCCACCTTGATCCCTACTTCCACCCCGATATATTTCTTTGAAAAGACTTTGTTCCACTTACTCACCCCAGTCGCTTCTATAAAGGACCTTATCAATCTCTCAGACTTTGACGATTATGAGAAGAGCTTGATCATGAAAGAAAAGACGACCATTTTGCCCATTAGGACAAGTTTTTCTATAAGAGACATCAACATCTATAGAGAAGAGTCTGATCCAGATTCTTTCCTGACCTTCTTATTGTGAGGAACTCTCAACTCTAAAGGCATTCATATCGGTAAGTCATATTTTAAGTATTTTTCTATCTTGGAGCGGAAATTGATAGTTTAGTTATACAATGAAGTTCAGAGGAGGACATCTCTTAGAAATACATTTTATTACCATCATCCATATATGGAACAAATTAAACTTGCAGAAAGCAACTTATTTGAATATTTCATAATCTCGTCACCGATTAAATTTTAGTGTACACCCTTCTGGTTTGAATCAAGAAATAAATATTTTTCCATAAATTTTGGATTAAAAAGCAATGAAGAGGTTACAAAGCTAAAACTTGTTAAATTTAGAAGATATTAGAGAGTTTAGCACAAATTATACTTTATGCTTTGAAAAAGGTTTTTTCCCATGATTTAAATTAATCATTTTATTCGTTATTTTCATAAATATTAGAAATATGGGAAATAATCCAAAACGTGCAGGTCCTTAAAGAGACCTCTCAGATGTTTTGAATTCAATTTATTAAAGTTTATGAGGTTCTATTGCTATTAGATCCCGCATAAATATAATACCTAGTCTTGTAATTAATATGCTATCATTTATAGAAAACGTAAACCTAAATATTACTGGTAGCTTTATTCAGACTCAAAGGCCGATGAATTTAGTGATGAAGAACATTCGAGCAGATCTTGCAAGGCAAGAGCATCTATACTTTGCTCAAGGGACCAACTGTAACTATCCAGAAGCAGATTTAAGCTCTACTTTGATATTTGACAATCTTTCATTTGTCAATTCCAATGTTAATAATGGAAGAGCTTCTCAGTCAGTAATTGCTTTGAGTGGGTCTGAAAATGTTACTGCAACAAACATTGACTGTAGAAACTGGTTCACTTATGAAGCTAGTGAGAGTAGATGATTCTCTTATCGGCTTCTCCCAACATGTATCCCATCAGATTCCTTGAGCCAAATCCTTAATGTAGTAAACATTACAAATGACCTTGTTCAAAGTGGTAAGAATTCCTGGGTTAGTAGCTTACATTTAAAAACAGAAAAGATTTTAGTCTCTAAAAGAGTGTTTTCTTACTTGATGGTAGTAAGAAATTTAAAATCTTTACTACAATTTATTTGATTATAACAATCTATAGAAGTTTTACCCAACACAAAATCCTCAAATATCCTCATGACAGTTTACCCTCATTACCGAAACATGCACTTCAAAATCACAAATCTCACTGTCCAAAACGTCCAAATCACCATCAGAGAAGCTTTCATCGGCCTCCTAGGCTCTCTCATGGACACATTCTCCATCACAGACTCTTCCATCACAAACTGCACCTCCACCAGCTACATGATCGGCACAATGTTCAGCCTCAGAGGCACCTACTCCAACCTGACCTTCTCCCACATCCACTCAAACCCCGGTGCCTTCATCGGCTTTCTCCAATCCCTCAACGCTACCTTCACCAACCTCCAAATTCTCAACTACACCTCTCCCAAACTAGGCAGCCTTCCTCCTCTCGACCTGATCCCATTACCCACTTCCACTGTAACTTTCACCGGCTTAAAAATTCTCAACTCCGTACTGTACATAACCCCTCTATTCACACTGAAATCTCCACCGAAGAAAATCATAGTGCAGGATAGCTTATTCGAAGACCTTAGGCTAGACGCAGGCGTAGCCTTGTTCAGGTTTTTTTAGAGTTAGAGATTTTGTGTTCAGGAATCATACGGTGAAGGGAACGAGGTGTGTGAAGGAAGAGGGATTTTCAGCCTTTGTGCAGGTTATGGTGGTTGATGTGGAGGGAGAAGGGCAAGCGGTGATGGAAGATGTGCAAGTGGGGAATTCTACAGTGGGACTGATGGAGATTAGTGCTGTGAGTGGGGGAAATGAGGATAGGAAGGTATTGAGGGTGAGGAATATAAGGTATGCAGGATGAAGGATATTACATTCGATGCCCTTGGTTTCGACGAAGGGAGTAATTTCAGAGAGTTTGTTTCAGATACAAATGGAGTTTCTTGAGTTTGAAGATATTTTGTATGAGAATTCAGGCGATATTATTACTTTTGGGCATCAGTTAAGCTATCCTGCGACTGTTAATAATTTAACTCTGTCTGGAGTTGAATCAGGCAGAATTGATGTAAAGTCTTTCAATACAAAGTTTCTAAACTTTAAAACTTCTGTCAAATTTCAAAATCTTGCTACCAACAATGCATCATCAAGCCATAAATCTCTCATTCGGACTAGTTTGGGAGCTGATGTTGAAATTACAAATAGCTCATTTACAAATATTGAAAATATCTACTTAGACTCTGGAATATTCAGTACTGAGTCTGACTCTATCATTAAAATTCAAGGCACTACATTCCAAAATAACTCAGCAGTTTCATCATCAATATTCAAAATCAAGGATGAATCAGTACTCAAATGAATAGAATGAGCCATAAATAACAACTTTGCAATCTCGAGTGGAGTGGTATCCACATAGTCAGATGGGCACTTTGAATTCATAAATTCAATAATCAGTGATAACTCTGCGATACAAAACCCAATTGGCATTCTAAATGGATTCAATCAAGCTTCTGTGATATCCAAGTAAGTCTTGCTCCTTTAATTTATTTCTTCATGATAAATGAAATAAAAATCCTCGTTTGATAGTTTTCAGTTACTAAATTTTTATATCTGATAACCCTAATGAATTAAATTCTAATTCTCTACTATAGCTGAGAAATTTTTCAAAATGAAGCAATGAGCTTCCAATCAGTTTTACAGGAAATCACAAGTTGATCTAAGCTATGATACCTCAAAGATATTTTAATCCAGTACATATTGAAGTTGGATCAATCAAACCTTTCTACCTCTATTGCATCAATTCAGGTGCTGTATGGAGCGCTTGATATTCTAAATCAGACCAGGATATATAGACAGCAGACAATAATATCAGCATCTGATTCTTTTATCAATATTTCAGATTCAAGTATTTTTAACACTGAGGCAAACTATTACCATACTGTAGCTATAAACTCTAAATTAATGTATCAAAATGTGGAGATTAGAAATGTCACACAGTCAGAAAACACAGCATTAATTTTAGTGATGTCAGAAAGCATTCTCCAAGGGATAAATTTGACCTTCAAAGACTCAAATACTGCCATTTTTCTTGTTCAAGATTCGAGTGCAAATATCAATAAAATCAATTTTCAGAATATCATCAACGCTAGTTCCTTTATCAACTTCAGAAAGGCAAAAGATATCAGGATGAGTAGTATAGACATCTCTCCAACTTGTACAGTCTTAGACAATTACTATTTGTTCGAAAACACTAAAAATATAACTTTAACAGACATAGAAGTCTCTGGGCTCCAAAAACTGTTCTTCAAATCTTACAATTCTGAATTTTCATCAATAAAGAACCTTAGAGTTGATAACAGTCATAAAACTATTGAATTGACCGAATCTAGTGTTGCAGCCATGGAAGATTGAGTTTTCATTGATAATGGAAGTAATTCCACCCAGAATGGAGGAGCAATAAAGATCTCAAATTCTAAAGTGACTATAAATAGTTCTTTATTTATAAACAACACAGCTATTAGTGGTGGTGTAATTTCATTTCATTGCACTTCTCAAGAGAAATGTAGTTTTAGTGTGGCTAATTCTACATTTATAGGAAATACAGCACTGGAAAAGGGAGGAGCTATTTATTATGATTACCAACCTCCTGTTAATAAAGATATTGTATACATTAATAATACTGCTCCATATGGGAATAATTTGGCTAGCTATCCTTACTGAATTAGTCTAATTGGAAAACCATGAGATTCTGTTCTAACACTGAATAATTATGGATCAGGAATAGCAAGTGACACACCTCTAAAATTTGCGCTTTACGATTATGACGGCCAAATTATGAATTTAGACAGCTCCTCACAATTCATTATATCCTCATCTACAGTCAATGATGGGAAAATAATGGGCATCAACAATGCTGTTCTTAAGAGTGGGATCGCTACTTTCAGCAGTATATTATTTATTGCTGAGCCAGGATCAAAATCTGTGCTATTCAAAGTATCATCTAGAATTTTAGATAAAGATAAGCTTAAAGTTGTTCATAATAAAAGTGAAGCATACAGACAACTTGAAATAAACTTCAGAAAATGAAGGCCAGGAGAAATCAAGCGTGGAGAGAAGTGTGAAGTATGCTCCACTGGAACATATTCATTAGGATGGAGCTCAGCTTCTTGCCCCAAATGTGTTGAAGATTCGGTGTGAAATGGTGGATATAGTATTTCTGTTAATCATGGATATTGGAGAAGGACTATAAATTCCACGAATATCATAAAATGACTTTCTGAAGAAGCATGAGAAGGAGGATTTGAGCAGAGTACTTTAACCCCAACTAAATGCAAAGAAGGCTATGAAGGACCCTTGTGATCAAAATGAAGTTTGGTTAATGACTCAAAATATGAGAGACTGAATGAATTTGAATGAGCAAAATGCCCAAGCCTAGCCATAAGTTTAGTTTACGTCTCTTTTAAAATGATTTTGGTAATTATTTACTTTACAATAACCATTGGAACCAATATTAGGAAAACAACAGAAAATATTCCTTTTAAAGAAAATGAAATTTCTGTTCTAATGAGAATATTTACTCATTATATACAACTAGTTGTTACATCAATGTCAATGAGTTCAGAATATCCTCAGTTTAATAACACTTTTGGTTCTGCTATCAAAATATTAGGAGGACCTTCTAGAGTTTTAATATCATTTGATTGATTTGTTCCAGACAGTGAAATTAAAGGCCCATTCAAATCAAGCTCAGAGTTCAAACTATTTCTTATGATGCTATTACCAATAATCTTATTCACACTCTTTTCTGTGTTCTGGTGAGCAGCTTATATCTGAGGCAAAGGATTCTTTAAAAATCTTACAAAGAATTTAACGATATCATACATCAGCATAATATTCTTGCTCCATCCAAAACTCACTCGAGAAAGCCTCAACATGTGGAGATGAGTTGAAATTGATGATGATGTCAAAGTTGCTAGATACAATATGGATCTAGGATGTTATTCATCTGAACATATCAAATACTGTGCCTTACTTTCTCTACCAATACTCGTTGTTTGGGTAATATCAATGCCAATTCTAGCATTTATCTTATTATACAAACATAGAAAAGCAGAAGACCACTATAGATTCAAAGAATACTTGCTGATTCTTTATCAAGGCCTAACTCCTGAATGTTTCTACTGGGAATTTGTCAATATCTTCAGGAAATTCCTCATTCTATGCTGATTATTAATTGATAATGATTACAGAATTTTACTATCTTTGTTTGTCCTCTTGGCTTCTGCAAGATGGCAGCTTTATCTTAAGCCTTACAAAGATGAAAATAATAACAAGGTTGAATATTTATCTATTATGAGCGGATTCACAATTATTTTATCAATCAACATATTTGTAAGGAATTCTGAGATGCAAACTCTCAATACAATTATGAGCATGATTGTTTTAACCATAAATATAACATTCTTCATCAGTTGGATTCACCTAGTGTTCAAAATATACCAAGAAAAGTTTCAGATTTTTATGATTGTAAGGACTCTGACACAAAACATATAGCTTTATAAAATAACAGGATGGCTAACATGCAAGAAAAATATGCTAAGCTCCTCTGAAGCAACAGCTATCTCAAATATGAATGAAGGTATTGACTATGCTTATAAGTAGGAGTTCGTGTAGAAGTGGTCAAAAGGCTTAGAAAGTCTAAAAATAAACGGAAGATAAATCGAAAAAGGAAGTTCAAAAAGAGAAAGAGAACGCCAAAGAAGTTGATAACCCACCTGCCTTCCACATCCCAAAGAGTAAGCCTCCCCTGACCCCTAGTTCAAAATCTCTTCGCCCAGGCTCTTCAAAAAAACAAAGGCAAAAGTCACTGAAAACAGAATGGATTTAAGCTAAGTTCTAAATTTAGGGTATTTTCAGTGGGATTTTGAGGGGTTTTGGGGTTTTGGGGTTTTGGGGTTTTGGGG